CCCGGAGCATTGCCCGCGTGTGCCCGGGGCATTGCCCGCGGCCGCGTCCTGCGCTTTGTTAGCGCCTCTTTGGGGGACTCTGGGGGAGAAGATGCAGCTTCTTTGGAAGTCAAGTCCTTTCTTCCTTTGTCTCTCTCTGTCGCTGCTTTTTATTCCTTAAGTCTCCAGCTGCGATGTCTAACTAACGATTTGGTGTCGTGGCTTGCATTGCTTCGCCGGCTCTCAGTAGTCTAAAGACACAAATACAAACTTCCGCGAAGTTAAAGCGAAAATTTCTCACGTGTTGACTATTCCTTTTAATGTGTAAAATATGGTTAGTGCTTGAAGCTTGTTTTCCCATTCCGTTTTCACACCTATACAAAACTACACCATTCACTTATATATGTTTACGAAACTACAGACCTATGGTCTTTATGAATGAAATTAACTCTGGAGGGTTTGCACGTGTTACTTTTCACAATCGCTTTTCTGTTTCGTTTCAGTTTTCCTGGCTCTCCATCAATGTATGGCTCTTCTGGAAAACCTTCCTGCTCTATTATCAAGGGCCGCAGTATTATTATTTGCATCAGATGTTAGGGGTGAGTGACCCGGACATTACTTTTTGCCCTGGAAATTGGGATGCAGGGAGATGAGAAATGGTAGCATGTATTTTCTAATAAAGGATGACACAAACTGTGTGTTAACTCTTCAAAGTGGGGAAAGATCAAATAAGACATTACTGGGATACTTCTGACAGTTGTTTAGGAGTAGAAAGTGAACATTGTTGAGAAGAAAAAAGCCAATCAAGTGTGGGACAGCTATTCTTCCCCCTCCTCTCCTCCCTCCTGGTGTTCCCAGCTGCAGACAGGCTCACAGGAACACAAACATGCTCAACAGATGACTGGAGCTCAGCTTTTTGTCATCAGAAAATTAGCCAAGTGATGGGCTTGTGCCTGCAAACTTTCTAATCTGATTATTGTGATATACGTATTTGCTGAAGGACTTCTGCTGTTAAGTTTCAGTTCTTTTCAGTCTTTGTCATTCTCCTAGGTCCTTCTCTGTAAATCAGTGTAACCTATATAATTTTAGGGTTTTTTGTTTTCTGATAGTAAATTCTTGAATTATGGATGGTTTAATGAAGATTTGACTATTTTGATTTGGCAAGGGTGATGTCCATCACCAACAGCTGAAACCAAAGAGATAATTTGGAGAAGTGAGATACTGGTCTGTCTTGGGAAGTTATCCACAGCTACAACATTGCAGTTGTTTGAAAAAGCCCTTCTTTCCAAAGGCATAGATAAAGGGTTAACAGCTTGCTGGAAAATGCTCAAGGGTTGCAAAGAATTTGAGAATCCAGGAAAAAAATGGCTGAATAACACAATGCTTTCTACCACTGTCATACTCAGGAATGAATTTAAATGGAAAATTGACATGGGTTTAAAGCACAGATGATGCACATCCTAACCTGCTGTAGTGCCTCTGGCTTTTATTTTTGGTAGATCCAGGGTGTATATTTTCATGTGGTTGATGACACTGTCATAACTAGCCAGTTCCATAAGGTTTTGTGAACTTGCTTGAAAGTAAGTTGACCTGATAAAATTTTTTTTCGTTCTCCTTATGGTTGATTCAGATGTGTTCAAGAATGAATATTAGCAAAGGTAGTGCAAAAAAAGAAGGGAATCAAAATACTTAAATCCTTCACAGCCATGACTTGACAGAAAAAGCTTGAAAATGCATTTAATTTTACCATTATCTCTAATAGCTTTGCAGCCCAGTGCATCCATTTGAAAACTGTTTGTTCCTGGCAGAGCAAGTGGGTTGTTTGTAAAGCAGATGTTCTTGGGTCAACATGTTGGCCCAGATTGTCAGCTGGTATCAATCAGCAAGTTTCTCTCAATTCAGAAGACTTGTCTGCCTTGGACCAGCTCATTGTCTGCTCTTTGCTTTGGCTTTCTTATACTTCAAAATGAAAGACACATTAAAAAGTAATTTAATGTGTCTTCAAAAACCTGTGAGATGATCCAGGCAATAGGTTCCTTGTCCTGGTGAGGAGATGGGGACCAGGAGGTTATGTGTTTTGAGTTTGTCTGTGTCTGCAGCTGTGGGAAAAATATCAAAGAACTTTAGAAACTTTATAAAATGAAGAGGAGAGAGAAGGGCTAAATCTAAAAGATACTTTTGGTGAAAGTTCTGAAACTAATTTTAAAATTTTGAAAATATTAAAGGCTGTAAAATGTTCTTATAATTCACTTTTTACAGTTTGTCTTAATATCATCCTTAGACCCCAAAATTAGCTTTCTCCCTTCTCTTCAGTATATTTGTGTATGTGTATTAATTATATTTCAAGGGTTGGGAAAACTGATCCCAATTTAATTTCTTCAGGAAATGGCATACACATATCTATACTATAGCTGCTGTTACCTTCCATGGGCAATTTTTTGCCCCTCTTCTTTTTCTCTATTGTGTGTATCCATTGGCTCATGGCTCATTTTCATAACCATGTTCTATATATGTGTGAGTGACTTGTAGCACCTCTGGGCCATTTATGGGTGTCTGAAATTTGAGTTTTGGATTAAATTCTTCATTTATAATTCAACAGTTGATATTTTTTGTCTTAACAGAATGAGCTTTTTAATAGATACTCTCATGACAATTGATTCATTTTCCCAGCCAGCTGACAAAAAATAGGACAAAGCAATGGCACTTCTTGAATAAAAAAAAGTTTATCGTGCTTTTCAGTGAGGTCTGCTAAGGAATTTTTTTTTTCATACTTTGTATGCTGCAGTGGTCCAAAATCTTTTGCACTTGCAGCACTGAAAGATTTACCACTGGTAATTTTATTGTTTACCAAGTTAACAGAACGGAGAACCAGAAGAGTTGCTGTAGGAAATCAGATTGGGATATGATATGAGATCTTGGATTGAATATCCTGAATACATTCAACTCTGCCATGTTTTCATGCCATGTTTTTCTGATGTGAAGAAGGAGTAAGAATGAAGTTAGCCTTTCATTCAGTGGTCACTGAAGTGATTTACTTCCTTTCAGCCATTAGCAGAAGAATGAGGTTTTCTCTGCCTCATTAAAACAAGATACTTAGCACAGGATTTTAAAATTACTTAGATACTGAACTCTCACTCAGTCTTTCAATGACAATCTTTCTGATCCTTAATTTTATGCCTGTAAAAAGGCACTTACAGCATAGTGGTGTCCTGGAAGTGCAAAGAGAACAAGTAAATTAAAGGCACAAATGTGCTTGGGTAAGGCTCATCAGCCTATTGTAAACTTCAGAACTTGGAGGGTAAATGTGTTGTGTCAAGTATCTCTGCTTTGCTCAGATTGGGTCCTGTTGATGAGACCATGAACTCTTCACAGTGGAATCTCCATCCCTGGAGCTTTTCAAAATCTAATTGGGCAAAAAGCCCTGAGCAAACTTAACTGAATTTGGTGTTGAGTCTGCTTAAAGCAGAGGGTTGGAGTAGAGGCATCCTGAGGTCCCTACCAACCAGAATGATTTTGTGGTTATATAATGCTTGCAGTGAAAGTCTACTAGAACCTAGTAGATGTAAACCCCTTTCTGATATTTTTGCTTTGATGAACCATCCCTTTGGGTACTGAATTGGTGGTCTTGCTGTGTGAATGCATTCATTGCCACTGGTTCAGGAATATGATTCAGATAAAGAATCTCATTTTTTTATAATTTGATAAATGTTAACTTGTGATCTTACATTGTTCAAAGAAGGGAAGCCTGTGAAGAAACACCCAACAGACAGGGAATTTTTTAGACATGAGTGCGGCAAAGAGGAAAGGAGTATTCTCATCTTCATCCTCATGATAGATACTACAGCATGTAGTAGGCATAAGTTACAGAAGGGAAGAGGCATACATTACTTGACAAGACTCCAAAGTCTTCATTGTTTTGTGTCTACTCAGTCATAGAAATTGCCCAGATGCTTAATTTCATTATGGGCTTCAAGATTTCTCCCTTCAGATTGGCTTGGCTATATTTTTTTTCCAAAATGTTTGCTTGTACATGACCAAAAAATGGAGTCCTAAATTTGGTACTGGCCTTATAGATCTCAAATCTTGCTTTTAACAGTGTTGATTGAAATCCTGTTTCTTGTTGCTTGAGTTCCTCATGAACAGAGCGAGCTTTGGGCTCATTTTGTCATGGCATAAAAAGGCTCTCTCTCCCTATTCCCTCTCTTGTCCCTGCTCAAATAACTAATGTAGTCGAGTGTTAATGCAAGAGATAAGCTTCTGGGTTTCAGACTGAAGAGAAGAAAATGCATTTGCAGAATGGTCTCTTTGGGAAAAGACTGAATAACTGAAAACGGGACTGAAAAGAAAAGTGCCGCCTCACTTTTCTTTAATCTATACAATTGCCGCCTTCTTACTGTGCAGTACCGTGCATCACATTTGTCATCCTTATTTGTTGCTTGGAATATGTTCCAGATGTTCCAGTAACTTGCATGTATTTCCTTGCTAGTTTATCATAACGATAGAGATTTACTAATTGAGTCAAAATTTTGCTTTCATTGATCATTATGGAACAACACTGCAGCCTGCTTCCCACACACATTGAAGCATTGGAGGGAGTTGTGTATCTCAATCCATTATTTTCCTCAGTGCAGTGTGGTTTTGCTATTTAGTTTTAACCAGTCTATTTGGGAGTTGCTCTTTGGAGTGTGACATGAAGCAAAAATGTCTAATAATAGATTTATGTTGCTATGGTAGTTATATATATAGATATATATACAGAGTTCCCTAGTGAAGACTGAGGGTGTTAATCCACAAGACTTTATCTTGATAGCCCCCTTGAATTAAATCTTCTCCTGCATTCTCTGCCTCGTCCTAGATTATTTTTTTTTGTTTGCCAAAACATAGATCCTTCAACCCTTTGTCCTCACAACCCGCAGTTCAGCATCATTGCTGAGATTTATTCTGTTATAACCAGTGATAAACTTGGGTTTTACACCATGTGTAATATCTCTTCTGTTTGCTTGCTTTTTTTCTTTTTTAGCCTTTTTTTCTTTATATTATATCTCTTCTGTTTGCTTGCTTTTTTCTTTTTTAGCCTTTTTTTCTTTTTTTTTAAGTTCAAATGGCAGTAATCCAATGAAGGACACCTATACTAATAACTTTTATGGGAAAATGTCTACCTTTGCAGAACTGCGTGTGAAACTGTCAGTAGTGGAAGTTGAATTAGTAGAGGTGCATCTCAGATGATTAAGTGGAATTTTTGCTGCTGTATCCTGTAGATCTGTGCTACAAATAGTCTTCTTGTCATCATTGTTCATCATTCTGAGATGATCATGGCATAATACTTTGTGTAGAACAGAACTGAATTAGGGCCAAAATGTTTCTTTGCTTGGTTGTTCATTATATTACGCATTATTGCAGATTTCCCGTGTTACTCCAGCAATGGTCAGTCTTAAAATAGCTGCATTACACTCCAGAAAACTGATTTTACAGACCGTATTACCTACTGTGGTTTGATAAGGGAAAATAATTCAACATTAAGGAAACCCTTGGGAGCCGATGTTGCATCACTTCGGTGTGGTGTGACTCAGATAGGACAGTAAGCAACTTCCTGCTCTGG